CGGAAAATATATTGTTATTGATCCCGTTTCTGATATTACAACATTTCATCTCTGTTGGCTAAATCTGTGAATTGAACTGATAGATTTAGTAACTTAGATCAACTCGAAGATCAAAATAGCTTTGATTACAAGTTTTCTTTATGTCAGTAGCGTCATGCATTGGTAATCCAGTTTGAGAAGGAACCCATAACAGATTTATCCATATTAGAACCTAATTTATACCTAATCTATATTTAGTCTACATTTCTCGATGAACTTATTTGATTTTCTACGTGGTTTGAAGTCCACCTTTTCCACTTGTTCATAACATAAATAGAACTGAAGAAACGATGCATCAGGAACAAGGTACAGGGTAGGACTAAGACCTCCCACTTGACATGTTGAGGTCAAGTTCCAATGGAAGTTGTGCTAAATTTGACCTTCTGTTACCTAAATACTCTCTTTTCCAAGTCTACAATTAACCCTTTAAGCTGCCAAAGGATAATCCTTCTGTGTGAGTTAAACCAAAGTGGGCATTTGGTTGCTGGTGGGAGGATTCTCGTGAGGATTAGACTTTCAGCATAATCCTTTTCCATAGCCTCATATACACACAAGACAGTGGTAATAATTCTAAACTTATGATTACTTGATGTAGGAATAGTCATTATAAGATCCACGCTGATGGCTAATTTGATTTAGGAGACAATCCGCAAGATCCTCAATTAGGTGGAATAATCAGGCCTAATAACACCATCATCGGCAGAAGTAGATTTACCTTATTCAAAAAGCAAAACGTTGAATTCCTTGTCGAAATTTCTATATATTCTCGTATTTTGTGAAAAGGGAAGATACACTTACTTTATAACTATTTACGAAGCCTGAGAAAGTTATAGTACACACACACACACATATATATATATACTATATGTGTGTGTGTTGTGTAACATATATATATATAATATATATATATATATATATATATATATTATATATATATATATATATATATATATATATTATATATATGTCGACATTTAAAAGGTGCTTGGTTCTAATTTAAAGATGTAAGTATCTTACTGAAAACATTCTTTTACATATTCTTATATTTCCAAAGACAGCAATATAGCAAAATTTAGTGTTATAGCAAATAAAGTAGATTAGTGATTATTTATAAAAGTCGTTTGTTTGAATGTTAACAATTCAGGGGAAAGTTTATAAATTTATTATTTTAACGACGAATCTTGCCTCTGCCCCATAACACAAATACGTTCAGAGCTAATATAAAATCGGTGTTTTACTCTGAATTATATTGTAATGCTAGATAAGTGGATTAACGTAATAATGAAAACCCTGTGTATTGAATTGTGGTAATTCAGATGAGTCCTGCTTCTGCCCCGTAACACAGAGTGAAGAAAATATTGAGAAAATGCGACGAGAATGACACGCCATAATGCCTTGTTGCTGGGGAATAATAATGATTAATTCATATAGTTATTTTAATGGTCCGTGGATACAGTAACGGAATTAGTCATAGGTGACAGTTCCGGTGGTATCAATGAATAGATTGAGATTGCAATTATTCATTGAAGTGAAGGGTAAGATAGGGAAATTATGAAGATTAAAAGGAAGGGGAACGATTAATTTATGTACAGATAAAATCATGGAAAGATACTGGGGTGAGGGAGTCGATTTCAAATCATGTAGGTTTTTATTTTTGTTTGTTAAAATGGTTTTTGATTTATAATTAGTAGGAAAAGGGAGAGTATCGAGTTAACCTTAGATATGAATTAAGTTAGAGGAGAATATTGCTTGTTTATATTATATTAATTACTAAGATTTACATCACAATGTGCACCAATTTATTATTATTTATTTATAGAATAAAATGTTAATGGTCATTAATATTTCCATGATCGTTATAGTCTTTGGCACACGCTGAACGGGAATGAAGTCGTCCCCACATTACGAACCTTAAGGGGGCTGTTGCACTAATTTGCACGAATTTCGCGATTTTTTTAATATGTTATATGAACATAAACTACGGTTTACACCACCGAGTTTCATATCATTGGGATAATAAACAATGAAGTTATTTTTAAAAAAAACAAGATTTTGAAAAAAGATAAATAAAAAATGGTTCTTACGTTACACTACCCAAAAATTGAGTAGATTGAATATAATGCCTTGTATAAAAAAAAAAAACTCTTAATGTGGCACACACACACACACACATATATGTATATGAACACAAGCACAAACACAGTAACATGCACACAAAAAAAACATTAATATTATTAACGTGAGCAGTAGTAATTAATAAAGGTAACATTATTTAAAATAGTTATTAGAATGAGTAAAGGAAACAGTATAACATTGGATAACGGATTGTTATCGTTGTCTCAGAACTTATCAAATTACAAAAAATAGATACCTTGCAGTATCTCTTAGCTAATGGCTAGCCTATACGAACACACACACAGTGATAATAAATAAAATTCCTTCATAGAACAAAAAAATGCAACCTGATTTAATCTAATTAATTTTTTTTTTTCATCAACATCAATTCCAATTCTTACAATAATTATTTATACGAACACACACACACACTGATAATGAATAAAATTCCTTCATAGAACAGAAAAATGCAACCTGATTTAATCTAATTTTATTTATTTCCTTAATTCCAATTCTTACAATTGTTATTATGCGATAGTCTCTTTATTTTGCTTCTAAATTACCCTCCGTGCGCAAGACATGGCCGGGGTAACTGTCATGTCGCGTGTCGTATGCACACGCACGGTTATCTACAGAACTGCTGGCGTGGGATCTGATCGCGTGTTAGCAAGACTGGTGGACGAGAATGCTACCTCTGCACCACACACCACTCAGAGGAGATGCAATTAGACATGATTGTATTTGTTTGACGGTAATAGAAGAAATGTAGGAGAGGGCCGGAAATTCAGTGATATATATTTATTTCTCTATCTATAGATATTTGACGAAGAGAACAAATGCGGTCTAATTGATGTAAAGGACTTTGACCTCGATTGTGTTATCGAACTCTTATCTACAAATCAACGTTGCATTTTAGCGTATATATATATATATATATATATATATATATATATATATATATATATATATATATATATATATATATATATATGTAAGACATTTATCTTAAAATACTGTTGTCTTTTGGTGAATGGATTTACGATAATGAAATAATAGTAAGAGAGAAAAGAAGGGAAGAGAAGAGAATGTGGTAAAGTATGTTCACAAAAAAACGATGAAGACGAAACGAGTGTGTGGGAGATCAAATATGTACACACACACACAACGCACACAGACACACACACAACACACACACACACACACACAAAACACACACACACACACACAAACAAACAAACAAGCACATAAACAAACAAACACACACACACACACAAACCAACACACACACAAACAAACAAACACAACAAAACACACACACACACACACAAACAAACAAACAAACAAACACACACACACACACACACACACACACACAACACACACTCAACAACAAACACAACACACACAAACACACACACACACACACACGTGGCACGCTCAGTCCCGCCGAAATGAAAATGTACGTCTGAGACAAGTCCTCCGCACTGAGAGCATTGGCCGTGAGAACCGAGAGAGCCACTTCAGTAGCCTTGGCAGGTGGGTTGGGTGGGGAGGGGGGGGGGGAGGTCATGGATCTTGCACGTAGGATTATCTCGTGGCAGATAATGAGACAGATAACTGGATATGAATACGAAAGGGACGGCTATATATATATATATATATATATATATTATATATATATATATATATAATATATATATATATATATATATATATGTACACACACACACACGCACACACACACACACACACACACACACACACACACACACACACACCACACACCATATATATATATATATATATATAATATATAATATATATATATATATATGTATATATATATATATATATATATATATTATATATATATGTATGTATGTATGTATGTATGTATATATATTATATATATACACACACAGACACACACACACACACACACACACACATACATATGTATATATATATATATATATTATATATATATATATATATATATATATATATATATATTATATATATAATATATATATGTATATATATATATATATATATATATATATATATATATATATACATATATATATATATATATATATATATATATATATATATATATATATATATATATATATATATATATATATATATATATATATATATGTATGTATGTGTGTATGTATGTGTGTGTATGTAAGTGTATGTATATATATATATATATATATATATATATATATATATATATATATATATATAATTATATATATATATATATATATATATATATATATATATACATATATATATATATATATATATATATATATATATATATATCCTGTGTGTATGAATGAGACATTTCTCACTTCCTTTCTACCTTTCCTCTCTCCATTTATTGCCTCTCCTTTACATTACCGCTCCGCCTCTTCCTTTTGATCTTTTTACCCCCTCTCCTCCTTCGCCTCTACACCTCTCCCTCCCTTCCCCCCCCTCCCCTTGTCACCATCACCAACTCACTGTATCGGGAAGCTACACAGGAGTCCCACGGAGAAGGAGGAGGCGTGGATGCTCCTGAGGCTCGTCGGGTGGAAGGTGAGGCCGCTGGGGTTCCTTGGGTTCCTGAGGGAGCGCCATAGCGTCCTGGAGTCCTGGGAGCTCTCCTGGCTCGCTCGGCTGGGCAGGGATGGTGAAGGTGCCCCTGCAGGTTCTTCCATCTATTGTCGTCACTTGCTGTTTCAGTTTTTTTCTTTTCTTTCTTTGTTCTACTTTTCTAGAGAGTGTTTATGTGTGTTTCTTTATCTCTAGTTCTCTTTTCTATTTTTTGGAATGGTTTTGGATTTCGTTTCTTTTCGATCCCTGTCTTATGCATTGGTCTTCGGATAAGGGTTGTTCCTAGTATGTACGTGCGAACGGCATTGCTGTCAGTCTTCTATTAATGAAAACACTAACGAAAAACGATAAATGTAAACGTAAATAAACCAACTGCAAAAAGAAAAGAAAAAAGCGTCGGGGCAATTAGTTAATTAGTTTAATTACATTAAACTATTATATATTACTTGTCATTTGCTAGTCATTAGAGACTGCGAAAACAGCAACCTAGGTATCAAAAGCTCATTGAGCTAATTACTTGTTTTGATTCACAGGTAACAAGTCCTCTGATGGAACACTCATTCCCAAAGCCTCTAATTGCAAGCCTGGGAATGTTGTGGCAGACAAGGATGTTGACGGAAGACGAAAGCACCTTGGTGGTGTCGCTGAATATTGGTGGGGGGGGGTGAGGAAGAAGAGAGGAGGAGGGGGAAAGTGGTTAATGGTCTGTGAAAACATAGGAAAGGTATAACAGCAGTAAGAAGTAAGGATAGATATGAGGAGAGAAAGAGAGAGATAGTGAGAAGGATAGATATGAGGAGAGAGAAATAGAGAGATAGTGAGAAAGATAGATAGACAGATAGAGAAATAAAGCGAGAGAGAGAGATAAAGAGAGAGAGATGAAGAGAGAAGAGAGAGAGAGAGAGATTAAGGCAAGAGAGAGAGAGAATTTCAGTCAAGATCAGCAAAGTTATCAAGACTCTAATAAACAAGCCTAAGCCTACGCCTGCAAATTGCTCAAACCCTGCTACCAGGTCCTGCTACTTCCGGTTCTCTCATTAAATGCAGCGTCGCCATAGCAACGTCCTTTTCCCTCGTTAGTTCGATAATGTGACAAGTACTCTAGGGAGAAGACACGCCCACTCTCGATCACACCCGCTAATTGGTAGACAAGAATGTAATATCCTGGTGATAATCCAGTTAATCAATGTTTCTTGACAAATGAAGTTCTTAGCAATTACTCTGTACTAGTCAATGACACAAGGAGCCAATGACACTGGACACGTGGCTACTGGCGCTGGAGGGAGATTTTTATTGAATGACACAAGGAAGAAGGCATAAGAGGAAGATTTTTAGATATCTGTATAATCAATTCCCTAGCTGTTATACTACATAATTGTTATTAGTGCCATTGTTATATTCATTATCGATTTATTACAATCGTAAGCGTACTTATTGTTATTATTATTATCATTGTTATGGCTATCATTATTATCATTGTTATGGCTATCATTATTTTAGATATTTTAGATAGCTGTTATACTACATAATTGTTATTAGTATCATTATTATATTTATATCTATTTATATTTATTTATCGATTTATTACAATCGTAATCGTACTTATTGTTATTATTATTACCATTGTTATGGCTATCATTATTACCATTATTATTGCTGTTATCATCATTATTGTTATCAATATCGTCATATCTACTATATTTGTTTCATTTGGTTTTGACAATCGGGTTGTAGTCATCATCATGTTACTGTCCTTGTTATTTTCATCATAATTATGATAATGATAATAATAATAATAATAACAATAATAATGAAAAAAATGATGATGACAATAATAATAGTTATAATAATAATAGTAATAATAATAATAATAATAGTTATTATTATTATCATTATTATAATATTTTTTGTTATTACTATTATTGTCATTACTATTAATGTCATTATTATCATGTTATTATTACTATCATTATTACTACTAATGCTATGATTATTATCATCTATACTATTATCATTATTATTATTATTATTACAAATATTTTTTTATTATCTTTATTATCATCATCATCATTAATTGCATTACCATTATCATTATTATATCATCACTTCCACTATTATATCCATCATCATAAGCAGAACCACCATCATATTTGCAACTATGATAATAATAAAGATTACAGACATCATTACTGATACTATTATCAATGTTGCTATTATCAATACCACAGTTGACGGGACCACACCGGGTACTTATGCTACAGCAAATAGCTATGAGAGTTAAGTTCCAATTGTTTACATAAAAGGTTTTTATTATTCTTGACTTGACTTTATTAATGTCTGAAAAAGAGCAAAAGCAACTCACGCATTGTGTGAATATATATATATATATATATATATATATATATATATATATATATATATATATATATATATAATATATATATTATATATAATATTTTTTTTTTTGGTTCTTTTTTTCTTTTTTTTTTTCTTTCTTTCTTTCTTTTCTTTTATGTTACTTACTGTTCACTAACGTAATATCTATTTTCAATTCCAGTTTCCCTTCCTTCCAGTTATATGTCCACTTTTCTTCCTCTCGCTTTCACGAGGCTGTGATATTTTACACTGCGTTGCGGTTCTAATTACCCGCAAAATATGGTCAATTCTGTACCTTAAGCACTCCAGAGGCCTTGTATAGCATTACAATTGTTTTACATGTACTGAAAACCATACGGAAATTTTGTGATATGTTCTTCCAGCATTGCCATCAACAGTCTTTCCAGCTACGTTACATTCGTCGTGATCCCATGAATGCCACATCGCACAAAGAAGGTGGAAATATGATAAAAAAAAAATCAAATCAAAAACGACAAGCAACGAAATCAGAGAAAAATCTAAATATCCCCATCTCGCATTCGCTAATTTTCCCCCACCACGTATTTCCTTCGCGGAGAGAAACGAAAGGGTCAATAAAGCAAAATTCCCAATCGCTCCTGAACACACACAAGCACACGCGAACAATCCG